GGTGGGGGGTTACGGCCTCCCAGCCTGTGTGGAGTCAGAAGTGGCAACCTCAGGCAGGGCTGGCAGAGCTGCTGCTGCTTCTGAGGCTGCTTCTGCACAGGGTTGCTGCATCCGATAGCATGTTACCTGGTAAGCATTGAAGTTCTATTTGGATCAGTTTTCTAGTATTCAGTGGCTTGACTAGTGTTTTAACCATCTGTGAGATAAAGTTCAGTCATAGCCTACCTTCTCCTTTAGGGAATATTTTTTAAATCTTGCAGTATGGAAAGTTGGATCAGTTTACTGCTTTGCCATCTGTCCTTTGTGTTGTGTTGCAATTAGTTATTCTATTCTTACCCCTACTTGCCAATACTTGAAAAGCAAGAACTATGAAATCAGCCAGATATGAGTCAACCATACATTCTGGTATCAATTAAGAGAACATTTATCTTAATTTAACAGGCCCCAGTGTATTGATTTAAAAGCAGTAGGCACTCAGTGAATCCTGCATCAGTTCTGCTGATTCCACTCATAAACAGACAATAATTTATAGGAGATGAACATGCCAAGCCATATGGATGTCTCAGGATGCTCACACCTGTTGGAAACTGGTGTACTTCATTACATAATACATGCATGCTTTCTATTTCATGGTGATTAAAAACAAATGTGAGATAATTAAGGAAGTTGGTTGAAGTAGGGATGGGAATAGGTGATGTTTATCAGATAATGGTTATCTGGTACCTGAGAGCACCTCTTCCATTCCCCTCCCCCCCTCCTTCCCCTCCACTTTCAACCTGCTGTGAGCAGAGGGCCGCTCCAGCCCTGTCAGGCCCTGGGGAAGGCTGGAGTAGTTCCTGGTCCAGGATCTCGCTTAGTGAGTTAACCAGCTAAATATTAGGTTAACCTAATGTTTAACTGATTAAATGGGATTTTACACCCCTCAGAACAGGATATAAAATCCATGCTTTTCTTAAATTTGTCTTAATGCAAAGCAAAGACATCCTGGTTTTCATGCGTGTTCTTAAAATCTGTGCTGTGACTGGTATTGACTAATGATTCTAGATATATTCATCTGAAAAGTAGAGTGTTCGTGCCAAGTGACAAGAAAATGGACTAGATGGATCAAATTCCCTCTCCCCATTCTTTGGACATATCTAATCATATTCCACCTTCATATTCAAAAGCCCATGGAAGGTCAGGAGATACTAGTTTGTTTTAGTGTTTGGTTTTAGGAGAGAATGAAAGACCCGAGAGAGAGACCATGATATTTAATGTACACTACAAAGCATCAGATACCACATCATAGTATGACACAAACTCTGTGCGTGTGTGTGTGTGGGGGGGGGGGGGGGGGGGGGGGGGGTTTTTTTTGGGGGGGGGGGGAGGTAGAGGTGAGTGTTTTTCTTAGCAGGCCCAACTGTCTTTATTCATATTTTTGTAAATGTACAAGATATCTTATTTTCTGACAGTAATTATAAAAAGATTAAAAATAGGAACAACTGCTGCACGTTCAAATAAAATTGATTCGTATATTCTAAATTACATTATTAAAATACTATAACACAGCTTTTTTCAGTTGGTTTTATAGAAACAACCGTACACTGCAGAACTGAGAGCTCTAACTTCCTAAGTCAACATGCTTATTTCTTGTCCAGGCAGAGTTCTAACCTTGTGTTTAGCAAAGCAACTGGCTTCTAACAGAAAATAATGCTTATAGTTAATTAGCCAAACACATTCCATTGTGTACGCTTTTGTCTTGATGACCAATTGCAGTCAGTCATTTAATAGTGCTAAGGATATATGCTTATATTGTGATTCACTGTTGTTGTCCACATAACTGGAATAGCAGCATTGGTTGTTTAAAACTTCTCCCTTACTTTAATATTAATGTATGATAAAAGTGGGCATTTCTTTACCAACAAACCATGGTTATATTGCTGTATATATTTTGGTATTTACACCCAGGAAAAAAGCTTAGAAACATGTCTACGGGATTGGTATTGTAACTTTAATGTACCTTTCTGTCTAAGTATTTTAAAGTGATGAATGAAACTCCAGAACTGGTATTCACAATGCTTAGCACATTCTTCACCGTAATTTGTGAATTAAGTGGCTATTAAGAGGTTTTCCTTAAAAAGTGTAGGCTTTTTAGAACTCTACATAATACCATCCAAATGTTATTTGTATTATACTTTTACCATTTAGTCTTTGTTTTTATCATGTGTATCATTTTATTTGATTCATAAAAATGTGCAGGTTTTCTTTGATGTGAAGATTGGAGAGCAAGATATTGGCAGAATTGTAATTGGATTGTTTGGAAAAGTTGTCCCAAAGACAGTTGAGAACTTTGTTGCACTGGCAACTGGGGAAGTAAGTTTGTTTTCTTCCTTTCTATCTTTTACATAGTTTGAGTGGAGAATAAAACGTGAAAAAAGTAAAGCTTTAGAAAATGACATTTCAATTGTGAACTTTCCACATTAGTTGTCCACCAATTTTTTATTCTGGGGATACTAATGTAGGAGAACCATCTCATAGGCCTCTCTCACGTACCTATTATCCTTTCACACCTTTCACAGCTTTATTCTCAAAATTTAATTTTGCAAATCAATAAAGATCTCTTAAACTAGGAAAAACATTGTGGTTTTGTCATGGGGTGGACTCCTGCCAGTAGCCCTGGGAGTAGCCTGTTGGCTCCCTGGACACCTCCCTCTAGCTGGTATCTCCACGTGTCCTCACTTCCCTCTCCAATCCAGACCAACATCACTCTTGGACCACGGTGCCCACTTCAGGACACTGGTCTCCCACCGTGCCCACTCCAGTGTTTCTCAGCCCTCCTCTGTGTGTGTCAGTCAGTCAGTCTCTGCACTCTGGGGAACACTCAGTTCCCCTATACCCTTGTAGCCTCAGTGACCCACTTGCCAGTTTTAATCTAGCCGCTGCCTCAAGGGCAAACTGCAGTCTGTAATGGCAACTTATAATTGGCAAGGCGGTATGGACCTGCTGTCTTTGCCTACCCTGGTTGCCTCTCTGCAGCCCTAGTAGCCTCAAGCCTTGCAACTTGGGACCTTGCCTAGCCAGAGCTTCCCCAGCTCTGCCTTCCTCCCCCAGTTCTGCTTTAGCTCCAGGAAGCCTCTTGCTTCCCTGGCAGCCAGATCCCTCCTGCTCTGCATCCAGAGCAAGAGCAAGTCCTCCTCACTCCTGCCAGAAACCCTTCTTTATATAACCCCAGCTGGGTCCTAATTAGCAATAATTGCCTGAGATGGGGCTTTGCTCTCAGCGCTCATTCAGGGATGGGTTTTTTGCCCTTAAAGGGCCAGTGCAGGGTAGACGCCGTGTCACAGGCTTGTTATTATGTAAATGGTATGCTTCTTCCATCCTTGATTTTTGTGGTATCATATCCTACGTTATTTTGATTTGTGTATTTTTGTGTCTTGCTGTGGTGGTGGCAATGGCCTCTGATAAAGTCGTCTTTTGCAGTTGTTTCCTTATTTTCGTTATACTGTAATCTGTGAAAACCTATCGTTCAGATTGCATGCCTCTTTTTAATTTGCCCATAGATATATGTCCTGCATAAAAATGTATATATACTCATTTGGAGCTTTATTGCTTTTTTTAGAAAGGATATGGGTTTAAAGGAAGTAAATTTCATCGTGTGATCAAAGATTTCATGATTCAAGGTGGAGACTTCACAGCGGGTGATGGAACTGGAGGTAACATGCTTATTATCCTCCAACTCTCTGTAATAGTTTTACATGTAAATGAACAAATATTTAATTTAGTTACAATGGATGCTAAAGACATTGTAAATACAGAAATATTTAGAACAGTTGATCCCGGAGTCATGGGATTTTAGCTACCAAAGGTTTAGTTGCCAGATGATATGTACAATTAATGCTTCATAATGTTAACTGAAATATGATCAGTTTTGTGGCAATGGAGCTGAATCTAAAAAAAAGTTATGTGCTGAGAATGTTTTAAAACTATGGTGGGTGGCTCCAACTGACTTGGGAGAATAGTGTATGTTTTGCAAGGAATTTTAATGGTGGGATAAGGGTTGCTCTTGTTCTTCCCCCATCTTTATAAGTATTTTCTTTTTAACTAAATTCCTAGCAAAATGATTTAAGTGGTGCTGAGCAGTTCAATACTGTCTGCAGGGAGATAGGCTACAAAAGCAGTAAATAAGGTCTGCATTCACTTTCAGAAGATAAGATTACTACACAGTAGCTTAGACCCCTGGTTGAATGCAGTCTACACTCCTGCCTCTAATCTTCCTTCTCCTTTGGGCCCATAGTAATGTTGCCACTTTGTTGCACAGGCTCTTTGGAGAACATTTTAAATGTTAATTTGGTTCATGTCCTGGACTTTACCTACAGTACAGTATGCTGGTATGCAAGTGCTAGTGTTTCTACCATTACATGCTGTTGATCATGTGGATCATTTAATTCCAAAAACTGATCCTTGTCCAGTGCTCCAGTGGAACGTAGAATTCCTCTTCTTGTCAGTCTCCTACGGGAGAAGTCGCTTAATGACTGTAAAGGATGAGGCATGGAACTAAATTCTGCATTGTTCCACAATTCATGCTGATTTCTGTCCTAATCCATTGTTATCCAAGTAGTCATCTTTTTTATCTTATAATTGAGTAAAGTTGTTTCTGCTAATCACATTCGTGAGCAGAAGAATCAAAATGTTGAGGGAGAAAATTGCTTTAACTACTTAAAATGTACAAGAATGGCCATACATCTTCCTGCTGCTATGTAATTGATTAAAAGCTTCATCTCCAGGTCACCACAATCCCGTTTACTTACTTAGAAACATTTCAGAAATGCATCCATATGGGGAGCACCTCATACCAATGAAGGATGAAATCTGAGAGAAAGATTTGAAAACAAGTGTTATGCTCTTTTACATTGCTTTTTTACATCATATGATCTGCCTACTCACATAGTTCTTTCAACAGTCAATAGCAAGAACAGGCTTTTTTTTTTGAGTCAGCACTTAATTGAAAAGGGGCAGTTTCCCCTAAGTAGGAGGCATTATTTCTTCTAGATTTTCCTCTGTACCTTCTCTCCTACCTGCCTACTCCTTCTAACCATAACCAGTTTGAGTGCTTGTATACCAGTGCTCAGTGGTTCTCCATTGGAACACTGTGCGGAAAGGGAAAGTACATTGTAGGGAAGGTTAGAGAACCAACGACACAATAGAGCACTGCAGTGAACACTGTCTGCTTTCTCACTGTATTACCATTAGTCATGTTTATTAATGCCTAGGGACCATCTGAGAATGGGGTCCCATGTGCTAGGCACTGTACATACAGAGTAAGACAGATGATCCATGTAGCCTCCTTCTCATAACAGTGGAGTTTAAACCTACACCAGTTAATTTTTTTTCCTTCTAAATTTTGTTTTAAAAACAGTGCAGCCTTTCTGTAATCAAATACTGGTTGTACCTCCCTTAACCGGGACTCTAGACCACAAAGCCCAGGAACAGGGAGCTCTGATGGTGGGGCAGGAGCACTGTGGGTGGGAGCATGAGAGCAAGACCACAAAGCCCAGGAACAGGGAGCTCTGATGGCGGGGCAGGAGCACTGTGGGTAGAAGCATGAGAGCGACTCAGCCGGGAGTCCAGTGTCAGGGGGTGGATGGGCAACACAGTGGGGAACTTCCTGGCCCCAGTGGAGCTCCCTGGCCCCAGTGGCCAGGCAGCTCCTGCCCGGCAGCAGCTGTGGAGCTCTGACCCCGGCCAGGGAGCTCTGACCCCAGGGAGCTCTGGTCCCAGCCCTAGCCACAGAGTTCCAGTGGCCCAGGAGCTCCAGCCTCAGTGGCAGCTAGGAAGCTCTGGCCCTAGCTGCAGAGCTATGCCCCGGCAGCAGCGGGGGCCAGCAGCATCTAGAGAGCCCGATGGGGCTGAGGCAGCAGCAGGGGCAGGATAGAGCCCATGAAGGGAGGGACCTTCCCTGGTCTGACAAACTCCTTGTTCTGGACTAGTCAGATCCCAAGGGTGCTGGACCAGTGAGGTCCAACCTGTAATACTTTAATATATAATGTAATTAAATTCCCATCGATGGTAACTATATTTGGGTTAGCGTACTGGACTTTGTGTTAAAAAGAAGAATTCAAGTTAGAAATAGAATGGTTCAGTTATAGACATGGCTAATTTTTTTCCAGTAGCCGTTATCGTGTTTAAAATCATTGTAGAAGGCCAATCACATAGCTGTCACTAAACAAATAGTATTGTTCCATGGCAACAAGTAGGTTTTTCAAATGTACTCCTTTGTACATATGAAGTGTTTTGGATTAGAGCATCTTCACTGTATGGTATGGAGCAGTGAAGGAGTTGGGATTATCCAATATCTGAAGTGTCTTCATTACAATACATTGTACTTACTGTGTTTTTCCTTATTTCTGAAAGGAAAATTTAATTCTAGGGGTTTAATTATATTGCTGCTGGTACACTTCTAAACCTTCTTTTGTTTTGTATCACAGGAAAAAGTATCTATGGAGATAGGTTTCCAGATGAGAACTTCAAACTCAAGCACTATGGGATTGGATGGGTCAGCATGGCTAATTCTGGTCCAGATACCAATGGTTCTCAGTTCTTCATCACTGTGACAAAACCTTCCTGGTTGGATGGAAAACATGTAGTATTTGGCAAAGTAATTGATGGAATGGTAGGTTTAAAAAGAACTGTAGTATCAAAGCAGATAGTAATTTGGAGCTGTTTCAACAGTGTAAATCTGATTATACCATTGTAGTTGACAGCAGACTTTGGTCTCTATTGTCTATAATGTACACAAGGTAGAGAAATGTAAAGCACTTAACTATGAAACAACAAATGTTCATTGCAAAAATATAATCCAAGTACCCATTTTGACCTTCAGATTTCTTGATGCAGGCCATTAACCATTAAGACTAGTCCATTTCTGACGACTCCTTTGTCCGCTGGTCTCAGGTAATCAATGTTATTAGGCAGTGTTTGGAGACATTCAGGCCTTTGGAAGTCCTAAATTGGATAGTGCTTTTTGAGTTCATGTTCCTTTTCCACTAATCTTGTTATCCATTTAATTATGAATTTACCATTTCTTCAAGCTAACACCCCAGTTTTGTAAATATGGGGAAGATAGGGGTAATATCATTGATGATGGCTGCTGTATAAGGAATCTTATAGTGAAAATAAATAATTTACTCAGATATGTATTAATTCCTGAAATCAACACCATCAAAATATTAAAGTACAGTTACAAAATATTTCATTGACTCTTGATTATTGTGGAAAACCACAAAATGCCTAATTACTGTACACAACCCTGCTGAATCATTCTCTCACTTCACTTACTGCTATTTGAGTTTGCCCTAAAACCTGTTTTTCCCCACTCTCCTTATCTCTGTATTGAAGCGGGCAGATGTGGAACCTGTTCAATAGATATTTTCTGTATAGAACATGAAGACTTCTTTGATCAAATCTTTTAAGACACCACCACAAGTTTGAATTCTCCAGAAGAGTTTCGAGTAAATATTTAATCAGAACTTCATTAACTGGCAAAAACATTTCAGGCCAGATAGTTGATAAGCCTAGCTATATTCTGTCCTACTAAATAGTTTAAGTATGTGCCTGGTATCAAGCTTGTGTTTCTCCCATCCCCAACAAGGTATATTTAACTGAATGGTGGTCATTATGCACTCTCAGTATTTTGGTATAGGTAAGAGGATTTATATGGACTATGAGAGAAGAAATCAGATTACTCCAAATACACGTAGAGTGTCTGCTTAGAAGAAAATTACTATGCAGCTTTTATGATTTCAGGATTCAATGTCTGATGATAGAGCATGGATAGAACTGTATGCTTGTTAGCTTTATCAGCTGTAAGGATACTTTCAGTTCCCCCTTTGCTATGATATCATTAGGTGCTTTTTCTAAAAAATGGTCCACCTTTGATACCAGGGCACATAGCATTTGAATTCATGCTCCTTATGAGGCCGTGGGTTATTACTTACCCCTGGCTTAGTTTATGTGGGAATGGTGCAAGAAAAAGCCCATCTACAAAATGTGCAAAAAAAAAAAGTTTTTATGCTTTTGTCTTGTTAGATATTAGCAAACCTTGTTTTCTTTACTAAATGTAACTGTTTTGTTTTAATAGAATGTGGTGCACGCCATAGAACTTCAGCAGACAGATGAACACGACCAGCCTCTTCAAGACTGTGTGATCGTGAACAGTGGAAAAATAGCTGTAAAAGAACCATTTGTAGTTGAAGTAGAGGATTGATGAACTTAACAGCTATCCTGGAAGAGGAAATATAATGTCTTTTTTCTTTAGGGATAAAATTTGGGTGCAGATATAAGTTATCTATGACTTCTTCCATATAAATGCTCAGTGCTGTCAGCAAACAATGTGTAAACTCAGCAGCTGTAATATGTACAAAACATTGATGTACTTATGTTGAAACTTCTTCAGAGAACCAACACTTTTTAAACATAAGGGACATGTCACAAACTTAAAGCTGGTCGAAAATAAGGACTGATTTTGTAAAAAAATAAAAATAAATAAAATAAAAATTTCATGGCTGCAGTGTTTGAAAAGGAATTCAGTTTCTGTTTTGTCATGAAATTTTCTACATTTGTTACTGAAATTTACTGAAATCCTTCTACTTAAAACCAGGTCTATGATCAAATAAATTTTCACATTTTCTATAGTTAAGGTCAAAATATTAAGAGACTTATTTGTTCAAATCTACTAAAAGTGCAGGATCAAGTTGTTCCCTTTTCCAGATAAAGGGTATATTAAATACAAGATTTAGCTAAGACAAAACAGATCATGTTGTATAAACAAACTGTGCTGCTTAACTCACTTACTTAAAATGGGATCTCTTTATTCATGAGTTTTTAGGTGCACAGCAATCCATGCCCCAGAGACCAGAAAGAAACCCAAGTTTTCAACATGTAATAGGTGTGTTAAATGCTAAAGAGACTGCACTTTAGAATTGGATCCTTGTAATCCTTCTGGGTCACTGCTATCAAATAAATTTGATGGTGTTCAGTTAAAGATTGTTACATAGAATTGTTGATGAGTTATATATGTATGGAATATTAAATTTTGGTTCAGAGACAGCTTCGCTATCCAGCACTCAGGAGGAATGATGGTTGCAGGTTAACTGAATGTGCCGGATAACAAAGCAGCCCTTGCCCGCTCTGCCATGGGACAGGAGAAAGCCTCCTAACCAGGAGCAGAGCCATCAGCCTGTCTGGCACACTTTTTGTTTACCAGATGGAGGCGATGCTGATTAACAGAGCTTTCTGGTTAACAGTGTGTCAGATAAAAAACCTTTTACTGTAGTAGGAGGTAAATTGTTTTTTCCTTTACTTTTTACAGCGTGTTTTAAGCAGGGCTGTCAAACAATTAAATTGTAATTAATGGCAGTTTTAATTACAGTAATAGAATACCATTTATTTAAATATTTTTGACGTGGTCTACATTGTCACATTTGTTTCAATTACAGCACAGACTATAAAGTGTACAGTGCTCACTTTATATTTGCAATGCAGAAAAAACAGAGGACACGCATCCTTGCCAATAATGAGTTCTGCTTTATAACAATCCAAAGCACTGCAGAGGAACGCATGTTCATTTTCATCAATTGAGTTCAATGCCACCAGCAGATGGCTGATTTTC